CCAGATAACATACTCCATACAATCTAGCCTCGGTCAGTATGAAAATACCGCTACACAGATATTCTTAACAGTTTGAAAAGGTGAGTAGATAATAAGGTTTTCAGAATAAACTAACCTTAATTGGTTTCCGAATAAGGGTTTTCTCAAATTCTTGGAACGCATGGAAAGGCCCAAAAACTAGAGTGCCAGGATTTACGAGATAGGCAAGCATGGGAACTGCATTAGCAAGCTGCACACTGCCAGCCATATCAAATGCTAACGATGATATTTTCATAGTAAGTACCATTAGAATTCCTCGAATGGCAACGAATTCCTCAGCAGACATAAAATGTTGCCTAAATTGATACGCGTAAGTTACCAAAAAAGGATAAAGAGACAAAAATTGGCATACTTACAATAACAGTATAGAAGAGATACATGTGAAAGTCACTAAGAAACCCTTCGAGTTGGAGGAACTTAAGAGCACTAGCAGCAAACAGATAAGAAATGGGAGAAACGCGAGTAATATTTCATTTCTTGGGATCCAGTCCACTAACACCAGTGCACCAAGAGAAATACAGGAAAAATGCTTTACTGATGTTGCTAGACCTATAAAAAATAGGGAAGACTAAAGTGGGAAAAAATGCAAGAAAAAGGTGTATCGGACGTGCTTACCAGTAAGTCCAATGAGGCGTTGCAGGATGGTAAGAAAAACCACCTTCCCAATAGTGTGCTGAACAGATGAGAAGCAACCAGAAACGCACTGACCGACCTCTAGTAAGAACAATACTCACTTGTCGCATCCAATACGATATCAATAAAGTGGATACACATTAAAGGGGAAGAAAAAAGTATGATGGGTGTATGGAACAATGGAAAGCGTATACAGTTTGATACCTGATATGATGCGCTCCACTGGTTCTCATAGCCTTCTAGAAATCGATAGACTTCATCATCCAAGTCAAGATCGGCGAAATTATCGAATGCAATATCCAATTCACTTTCTTTAGACATTTTGGCTGAAAAGTAAGCGAAGTTTAAAAATTTTAATAGACAAACAGC